AGGAAGTTTAAATACCACAACATATGGAGAGCTGCTATGGGGAATAGCCCAAGGGGAAAGTGAGCAGAGCTGATTCTGCTGGGGAGGGTGGGGTAGCCAGGTTACTGCAGGGAGCTCTGCATGGGAGGAGTATGCAGGTATGGCTCCTCCAAAGGATGGGGTAGGGTGAAAGGACTGACTGGAGATAACACAGGGGAGGCCCTGAGGGGACTATGAAAGGTCTTGAACCATGACAAGAGGTGGATCCCTGTCAAGAGCGGCAGGAAAGGACTGTTGCTCCTTACCAGAGGGGTCGGCGGGGAGCACAGTGCATCATGGGGTCTCCTTGCCCTCCACTACAGAGGTGTCTCTCCCAGGTTGCTCTCTGAAAGAGCAAGCAGTGACTTTAGAACTCACCAGAGACCCTCATGGTTTGGACAGATGGCAATTCAGTAAGTGGGGAGGACTCCAAAGGGCCAGGTGGGGCTTGGAGGGCCTGAAAGGGCAGAGCTTTGAAGAAGAAGCTCCACAGATGGCAACCTTTCAGTCTGGGGAAGATCAAGGACTTTGGTAGGTCCCATCACTCAGGCAGAGGTCTTTGGTGGGGAAAGGTCAGCCCCCAAAGCCCAAGGATCACTGAGCACCAGGGAGCAGGCAGGGGGCTTAGAGCCTCTTTGGAAAGAGGGACAGGATGGGAGTGAATCTGTCAGCCGCAGAAACCCAGCTATACAGGAGTCCTGAAAAGGGCTAGCCATGGCCAAGGGACTAGATTCTACACTGACACTAAAATAATGCCACCCATTGCATAATGCTGTGTTAGTGATTTAAGTTCCCTATCACACCCAATCTCACAGCACCCCTAAAGCAAGCACTGTGACTATCCCCATACATCCAGAGGCAAGGTGGAAAAGCATCTCTTCATCCATCACCAGTCAGGGAAATGCAAGTTAAATGACAAAGAGACATCATTCCACACCTGTAATAATGGCCACATCCAGAACATAGACATCACCAAGTGATGCAAGGAGGGGGAACAACAGGAATGCTCCTTCACTGCTGATGGAAAGGAAAACATTGACACAGCCAACTGGAAGATAATTGGTCAGTGTCTTACAAAACTAAACATACTCTTACCATGTGATCAAAGTTCCTTGGTAATTACCCAAAGGAGTTGAAAGCCTATGTGGATGTTGATGGTTATTACTTGTAATTGCCCAAAGTTGGAAGCAACCAAGACATCCTTCAGTAGGTAAGTAGATAAATTGTGGTATACCCAGATAACGGAATATTATTCAGCATGCTAAAAGAAATGAGCTGTCAAGCCAAAAAAGACATTGAAGAGTTAACTGTGTGTTAGCAAAAGTAAAACAAGAAGTTGGTCAGAAAAGGCTATCTTCTACATGATTCTAACCAGGGCAATGAAAATACCCTGTGTGGCATTATGATAGTAGATAAATGTCACCATACTTTTGTCCAAACTCACAGAAGGAACCATCATGTGACCTGTGGACTTTGATTATGATATATCGATGTAGGTAAATGAAAGAGGCTGGGTATGTGGGGACATGATACACAGAAAATCTGTGCCTTCTTACAACTTTTCTATGAACTTAAAACTGTTCTAAGACAATCAATCTTTAAAACAAAAACCAGAACATCAGAAGTAGCACTGTAGCGCAAGTGGTCAAGTGCTCACCTTGAGCTGAAGAGCTGAGGGACAAAGCCCAGGCCCCACAACTGACAAAAAAACAAACAAACGAACAAACAAAACCCAGAACATTTCAAGGCAGGCACCAGTGATTTATGTTTGTAATCCTAGCTACCCAGGAAATTGAGATCTGAGAATTGTGGTACAAGCAAACCAACAAACATAAAGCTCAGGGATAGCACCCAGGTCCTTAGTTCAAGTCCCAGGACCAGCACAAAAAAGTAAAAGGCAAGAGAAAATAAGAAAGAACTTCCCTGAGGATCCAATGAGATGTCACTGTGAGAAGTTTGCACCTGCTGACCCTGGATCCCTGTCCATAGATCTCTGGTCCTTCACAGCACAGCCCACCTCAGGAGGCCACAGCTCAACTTTTTGAGCAGATGGCTATGCGTTCCTAGAGTCTGTCCATGAATTGCCAGAGTAGTTGATGGCCACTTACTAAACCTGACGTTGTGCAGACCATTCTTGAGTGTTTGGCCAGCTACAGCTGTCATAGTCCAGTGTGGAGGGAGGCTAAGCCCACTCTTTTACAGGGGGGAAAACCAGAGTTCTACCAGCTAAAGACAATACCTGGTTATCGCACCACAGAGCTTAGAAAAGGTGCTTAGAAATCAGCCTGTTTGGTGCCAGATCCTTCCCTCATCTCCCATCCAGAGAGTATGGCTGAACAAGCTCGATCTCTCCTGCCAGACATGCTGTGTTAGGTCTAAAATAGCAATGGTTAGCAAGGTGAAATGAATGGGCTGAGGTCACACTGCTATCCAAGACAGAGCTAGGCCCAGAGATCAGCTCATCTACTCAAGAGCAACGTGGTCACTCAGCGGACATATGTGGGGGCTTGAATCTCAGAGATGGGGGCCGTAGCATCAGATGGTCCTTCACCCACTACCCCCTCCACAGTCCCAGTGCTTCAGTGACAAGCTCCCCTGTCTGCCCCTCCAACATCAGGATTGCTTTCACTCGATACTCCTTCCAGTGCACCAGGCCGGAACAGAAGTGCTTGGCACTGCTGATCGACCAGGTTCCTAAAAGGAATCGAGTTTCCTCTGCACTCACAAGAAGCTGTTAGCCCCTGGCGAGTTTCCAGGGCTGGCGCTACAGCCATGCAGCCAGACACTGGTGAGGGATGCTAAAGCCCCTGGGCACAGAGAGGAGTCAGCTGGGCTGAGGGATTTAAATCGAAAGGGGTCCTTGCCAGCAACACTACCAAAACCACATCCTGTCCTCTGGGAAAGAGCTTCCTGCTGAGACCCTAGCAGAGATCCCTGACCCCGCCTCGCAGAGATGGAGATGTGGCCCTGAACTGCCACTGGCTTTCCCAGGGAGGAATCTGGAGAGTCAGGCACCCAAGACCCAGCCAGGCCCCTAACCAGCATGTGCCCCAAGGTGAGAAGCCACCCACCCTCTGCAACCTCAGTTTCCTTGTCTACAAAATGGACACCATCATCCCTCCCCGCAGGGTGCTGGCTGTGAAGGTGTTTGGGACTGTACGACACACATATCCAAGGTCGAGGCTGCTAATTCATCCAGTATAGACCAAGTCTGGTGAGCATTCTGAATGGAGGCTACAAGCAGGCAGTGTCTATGTGATCCATAAACTGGTTTGGGGGGGGGAAGGGGCTTGGGACTGCATTCCTCAAGTCTGACATTTTTGGGAATAATCTTTCACGAGTTTGGAGGTGCTTAGAAACCCTGATCTTTGCTCCCTTTTCTGGGCCTCATCCCCTCCCAAGGGCCCTTTAAACTGTGCTAGTCAAAGATGCCATTAGAAAGAAACAGGTGTTCCAAAATTGCTACAGAGCCTGGTGTTGATGGAACCAGGAGCTGAGACCTGCATATCCCTCACCAACATCCACCTGTTTCCCACTCATTCCGAACATCTGTCAGCATCCCACCAAGCAGTCTGCCAGCTGAAGCCTCTGTCATTTGGAGTTAGATGCTTCCCTCCAGGCAAAGTTCTGATGGGGTTGAGAAGCAGAGAGGTAGGAGCTCAGAAGAAGTCTTATAAGGAAGTGTGAAAAAAGAAATTTTCCAGAGCCGTCGGTGGGGCCAGAAAGTGAATGAGCCTTATTGGAGGGCAGCAACTTTCAAGTTTGTAATGGTCTAATGATCTAACGAATCCTCTTCTTAGGCATGCAAGGATTGGTCCTAATGTCACAGACCATGCCTAGTGCTGATTCTACAACACATTGGACTGAATACCATGCTTCATTAGAAAGTGAGGCCAGGTAAGATGCCTCAGATCTCATGAAAAGCAAATAAGATATATATATATATATATATATATATATATATATATATATCTTATTTGTATATATATATATATATATATATATAAATGAATGTATATACATGTATACTATATACTTATATATACTGTATTATACATATAGTATACTACACTATACTATACATATATATATATATATATATATATATATACACTATATGTATACTATATACAGTATACAGTAGGAACTCATTTTTTTGTCCAAGACCAGGACTCAAACGCTTGATCTGATGCTTTTGCTTTTTGGCTGGGGCTGGCATTCTATCACCCGAACCATGCCTCCAACCTTTGAACTCACTTTTTTGTACTGGTTCTGTGACTTGAATTCAGGGCCTTGTGCTCTCCCTTGGCTTTATTGCTCAAGACTAGCACTCTACCCACTTGAGCCACAAAACAACTTTCAGCTTTTTGGTGGTTAACTGGAAATAAGAGTGTCATGGACTTTTCTGCCTAGACTGGCTTTGAAGCACAATTCTCAGATCTCAGCCTCCTGAGTAACTAGGATTACAGATGTGAGCCACTGGTACTTGGGTCATTTGGGTTTCAATAAATATAGATGTCTAGATTTAAATATAGAAATATATATTCTAGAGCAGATGAATTATATATTGTAAAGGAGAAAATTAAGGAAACAAAATGGGTTTGGGGGAATCAGGACAGAAAAGCACTTTTACATATCTGTAACCATGTGTATTTTGGCATTATTATTGTTATTGCAAAACAGCACAAGACGTGTGAGTTTTTAACCCACTATTAAAAACAAAACAAAGTCTTCTTTCCCTAGGAGAAAACCATGACAGCATCTATGGTTTTAGGTGGTCATGGCTTGATCAGTATTAGTGCCAGGAAGGAAATGGAGGGGGATGGTACATTTTCTGCCACTTTCTCACACATGCAATCCTACCATGGCTCTGTGGGCTGTCAGTGGTCAAATACCACCACATCTCTCCTCACCCCATATTCTACCTTCTCCTCCTTCTCCTGGCCTGGGCCCCAGGGCAAGCTCAGGCCTGGGGCACTTACCTCTGAGAAGCGCTGCACATCCTGTGTGAGTGTGCCTACACGCCTCCAGTGGAAGTGTTTGAGCAGTTTCAGAATGGCAGGGTTTACCGCGTTGTCCGACGGCACGGTCCGGAAGAAGTAAGGATATTTTTTCTTATCAGCTAGGACAGGTGTGGTAGCCGCAAAGGAGAGCTGAGGACACAAGAGAGACAAACAATGGCATTACTGCCATCCCTCTGCCGAAAATAAGAGTCTTGCATTGCTGTGAAAGAGATTAAAAATGTAAAATGAGGAGAAAGAAGGGAGAAAATGAACCAGGGGATCTCCCCCTCCCTAGAGGCACACTATTAATTCAGTCTTCTCTTCACCTCATCTCACAAGCATTTAATTATCTTGTCAAAAACTCCTCATAAACATTTCATTTTTTATTGGTTTTTGTTTTTCTTTTTCTTTTATCGTAAACATTTTAATAGCTACCTCGGAGATCAGGATATGGAACATACCATAATTTACTGAGTCGTTCCTAATTTGAGGGCATTTAGATTGCTTCTAGCTTGTCACTGTTCTAGAGCTTCTATTCTGACATCCTGCCGATCTCCATGGACAGTCTGTGATGTAAAATCTCCCCAATAAAGACAGGATCTGAGCCTTTGAAGACTATACTTATATTTTTTAAAGATTTAAAAAAATCAATTTGCATATTTACTAGTCAGACATAATGAGAGGACCAATTTCACCACAGTCCTGTCAATGTTAATCAAACATTCTTCTATCTAATTCTGTAATGACTTACTACTAAAACACTGGAGTCAGATTGCATTCCTGGTTACACACAACGTTGGGTTTTTCTCAGGGAATTTATATTATTTTAAAGAAGAGCCTTTTCATGTCTTTAGTTTCGAGTGGTATTCTAGTGCTTTTCCAATGGAATTTAGTGAAGATTTGCAAAATGGATAGCATTTAACTCAAGCTATTATGGTCGCTGTAAATACTCAATTTGCCTTTACACATGTGTATGTGTGCGTGTGTTTTAATTTACACTCTAGTCAAATCTGTCCACCTTCTCTGCTATCAGTCCTTTTCTTTCAAGTGCCAGTAAGTTGTTAAATTGGATTTTTAATAATCTGCCTGCCTTAAATGCCACTCCTTCCCTCCAGTCTCTGATCTGTGCTCTCTCCCCCTAGGCTCATCTGCAGAAGTTAGTTATCAACCCTTTTGATCTTCAGAGGCCAGTGAGGAAATGGCATCTTGCTGCAGCTCTGATTTGCGTTTTTCTCTCTGTGAGTGAGGCTGAGTCTCCCTTCATGGGTTTAAGCAATTTGTAGTTCCTTTCCAGAAATGGTGCTCACCCTTGGGCTCGTTTCTCATTTGACTCTTTGTCTTCCTTAGCTGTGTGTAGAAAAGTGATCTTTCTTGATTAGGGAAGCTCAAGTTTGTTCTTTGTCTTTGGATGTTGTCTTCTGTCACATCAGTGGGTTCTCCATGGTGGATAAATTTACCAATTATTTTTTCATTTACATCTTAGGTTTTGTGTCCTATTTAGAAAGGCCTTTCCTACCCTCAGATTATGAAAGAGTTCCTCCGTGGTTTCTGTTCTGCCTCCTGTTCCTTTGTTCCCCTTCCCTCTTTCCTTCTTTTGTTTCAGGAAGAATCTGGTTGAGGTGAAAGCATTAGGTTGCCACCTCTGCTTGTCTCAGTAGTAGTTCTAGCTCTGATACATCCAAGTCTCAATTCAGGGACAACATCTTGGAGCCTTGGACTCCTACCACATGAGAAATACTTACACCCCCCAACCCCCCCCCCCCCCAATCAGGGAGGATGGCTGTGGGGATTTGTCCTTTTATCTGGTCTAGAGCAGAGAAGATTCATTCTCTAGGGTCCCTAGAGAATGTATCCAATCAGCAGCCCCCCATAGACAGCCTGTGGGTTGACCACCCAACAGCCCATCAACCATTACCTGGAGCTAGAGGATACCTAGAGAGAAACTCATTTCTAAAATCCCAAGAGACAGGGGATACCCCAAGACTTGTAAGGGTCCAGGCAGAATGACTGTTGAACAGATTCTAGGTAGGGGCCAGATTTAATGATACCCAACTATAATCTCAGCTACAAGAGAAGCAGAGCTAGGAAGATCTTGGTCTAAGGCTGGCGCTGGCAAAAGTACAAGACACAATGTGAAAAACAAAAGGATTGGGAGCATGGCTCAAGGGATAGAGCTTGCATAAGGCTCTGAGTCCAAATCCAGTACCTCCTTCAAATTATCATCATCATTATCATCATCAACAACAATAACAACAAAGGAAGAGTCTGTAGTAAACAGAACTCCAGGTGGATGCATAGAAGAATCTTCACTTTTGGAGGTGACTAGCAATAGTAAGCCTACCATGATAAAAATGAGTCTTGAGACATGCAAATGGAGGCCAGATCAGAGCTTGGGAAGAACAGATGGTTTTCAAGGTATCTGTGTACCCCTTCTCCCCCCCAAAAACAACTGTAGAAAAAGCACATACAGATATGTAGGTAATTACAGATATATACTTTTTTTTTTTGCCAGTACCAACCTTCATTGTCACTGTACTCTGCCACTTGAACCAGCTTGGCTTTTTGCTGGCTAAGTGGAGATCGACTCTCATAGACTTTTTTCTGGCCTGGGCTGGCTTTGAACCCTGAACATCCAGGTCTCAGCCTCGTTAGTACCTGGGATTACAAGTGTGAGCCACGGGTGCCTGGCTCATACACATTTTTTTTTCTTTTTCTAAACAAAGAATCTACCAGATTCACAAAGAGCATCCAAAAGTTGTGCAATTCCAGATACCTGCTTACAGGTGATATGTAGATCCTATAGAGAGTACAGGGAATAGAAGCTTCCTACAGCCCCCTCCCCCTGCCCAACTTTAGTGTCCCTAAATCTTCTCTCAGGATGAAGATGCTAGTGCAAACTTTCTCGCCCCACCAGTTTTAGAAGAAGCTATTAGAAAAGTCTGGGAGCCACTATTTCAAGATCTGGGATATTCTCCATGCTTTCATATCCCTCAAAATGCTTAGCCAATACAATTTGGAAATACTGGCTTTCTGATGTGATGGCTGAATCACACTCTGGTTGATACTTCAATGTTATTGTCCCTTTACTTCCAGGTCTACAATTAATTGCTGCTTGAACAACCTCGTATGTTTGCCCTGTAGGTAATTACAGTGGTTACCGTTCAGTGGATAAATGGCCCATCGTGTTTACAATGGGGCTTGGAGTACAATATATGCCCTGGGTCTAAATCATGTTGGGCGCAAAATATTAACTGGAGCTGGCATTTTCTGCATCATTTGCGATAATGCACACTTTGATTAGATTGCTATGCGTTACTGTTTCTCTGCTTTTAGCCTTCTAAAACCTCCTGCCCTAGGCAGACTGTAGGTGTCTTCTAGTCTTACTGAACTTCAGCATTGGGTGGCCAGTGGAAGGGAGGATCACCTAACTTTAGGTGTACAATGGAATCATTTAAGGGGAGATTTTTCAAAATCTGATGACTTGGTCCCATGCCAAATCAGAACCTCTGGGCATAGAGCCCAAGCAGCAGTATTATTTAAATGCTTTCTAGGTAAGGATGCCCAGACAGGGTCGAGAATGGCTAATGTTGCTTAACATTCCTGGTATTGGCTAAGCAGGTGGCAGCCGAGAAATGAGCAATACTCAGATATCCACCCTAGCCACTAAGAAGTAGAGAAGCAGGACTCAAACTCAGATTGGAGGACTCCAAACATCAGTGCTCTCACTTTGGCTTTGATGGCTACTCTTCTGCTCCTGCATGTTCCCTAGGGTTTTCCTCCTACCAGTACCTGACAAATGGGGCTGCTAGTGTTAACACTCTGGTTTGAAGATCCACCTTTCTGGTATGCCTTATTCCACATAACCAAACTTGTTTCAGAACAGACTGTAAGTGAGACTTGCCATAAATCCCTAACCAATGACTTATTTCAGAGAGAACTTTAATTTTAATTTATAGTTTGTTAAATCTAGTCTTAAGGTATTGGTTTTTTTTTGTGTGTGTGTGAGAATTTGGCCTGTATAGTGCTTGGGGAGAGGGATCAGGATTAATGGAAATTTTCCTTATGTGGCTTTTTATATAATCAACTTTTGTAAAAGTTCCATGGTGGCTAGCAACTGATGTAATCTCTAGCTGTAAACCACAGAATTATTTAATAGACCACGTGTACACATAGTAGATAGAATTGAACTAGTTATGTTATAGCCATATGTGCCAAGTTTTAATTTACCCAATCTGTTAAAGGCTGACAGGAGAGTTTGGAAAAAATTTTCTCTATCATCTTGGACTAATCTTTTTCTGTTTCCACAGAATTTTCTATGTTTCACTTTTATAGCAGTTGGAGCAGAAACCTTGCCTACTACAAATAGCAGGTACTAAATAGATATCATTGAGTAAATTGAGGATCAGAATATTTACTAACTAAAATATTTATTGCCTTTTCAAATATGATCTCTTGTTTGACATTAATTGCTGCCTTATTATTATTATTATTTGCTTGTGTTTACTTGAGATAACTCTGATCTTCATGCAATTAGAGTTGTTTAGAAACATACACTTCTCACAAACAGGCACATGGGTGGATTTTCAGAAGCACATGCTGAGTGATGTAACAAATAGCTGGCCTCACATTTATCGCCTCATGGGTGGTCTCGCTTTCTGTATGCTCCTTTTCGCTTCCCTCGGTTCCCTTTAGTGTATGGCTTTGTCCTCAGGTTGGCTCTGGCTGTGTGAATTTATCTCGCTCTAGGCTTTAGTCTAAAGAAGCACCTTTTGGTATTCTGAAGAAGGGAAGGGACTGAAGACCTGCTGGCACTGCTGGTCACCCTGACATGAGGCAGAACCGTTGGGAATACAATTCTTGGGCTGCTACTGGGTTCCTTTGAAACTACAAAGTGATGAAGAGAAAAATCTGAGGCAAGGGTGGGTCATTGTTCTTGGCTTGCTCCTGTTGCCTGGATGCCTGAAGGACTTTTTATTATTATCACTTATTCTTGAAATTTAAAAACAATTGTGAGGAGAGATGTGGTATGGCACTCTTGATTTGATTTGACAGGGAGTCCTTCAGTCTATATTACTCTCAAACCTTCTGACTCAGACAAAACACAAATATACAGTATAAATTTACTGTATCAATTTAAACATTACACATAA